AACAAAATGTTACGCTAAAAAAAATGAAAAGAAAAAATTAACGATATTAGATTTGAAAAAAAGGTAAGAAATTCTTCTTATTCTTCTTCTTGGGGTTCACGGTTTCTGAGTACAAAGAATCCTCTTACGAAATTCGTGGTTGGAGTTGTACTTTGCAAAACAAACAATGTCTTGTGTTAATTGTGACGTTGTTTTTGATGTTGTTTGCTTTGCATTTTCAAACACAAAAACAAAAATGTAAACGTTTTAGTCACGAACGCCAAAATGACTAAATGTCGGACGGATGGCAGTGGACAACTACAAAAACCCTTAACAACTTTTCATATTTCAACTTTGATGAAGGGTTTTTGAAAATCACTTTTCATTTGTTCATTGGAATTGCTGCTGTTGTTGATGCCTTTGCAGTTTCCCTCTCTGTTTGCCAATAGGTCTTAGGCAAGAAGTCATTTTTGCTTAACACACACACACACACAACTGCTGACAGCCACAAAATGAGCAGTCATCCATGTGGCAGCACCAGCACTCATTCATATCCTGTAATGTGTATAACGTGCCGTCATGTCCCATATGGAGCTGCTGCCACTGCTGCTGTTGCACGTCATTTGCATCATTATAATTATCATTAAGCCTAGACTGACTGGAAGTACAAGAAGAAGAAGAAAAGACGAAAACAATAACAACATGACCGTTTGGTGTTGGCGTTGTGGCTAAAGCCTTCCAGATGGATGGATAGGTGGCTGTCGGCATTTGCTGTGCATTTTCTGTTTCTCTTGTTGTTGTTGTTGTTGTTATTGTCTAAGACACACAAAAAAGGTTCTTCTGTTTTGGTCTTAATGACCATTTTCTTTCAATTTTTGTTTTTGTTTTCCTAACTCTTTTGTTGTTCTTGTCGTTGTTGTTATTTGCCCTCTTCAATAGGCGTTGAAGCAGTGAGACCCAAAGGAACTTTGGCTTTGGGAATTGTTGTTGTTGTAGTTTTTTTTTCCTGTTTTTGCTAGCTGTTGCTCTAAAGTGTAATATTGTTTTTCCACAGAAATTATATTTGATTACTACTTTTAGTTAGTGTTTATTTGAATTGTTGGTTTGTTGTTGTTGTCGTCGTCGTCGTTGTTGTGGTGTTTTCAATGTCCAGGTTATTTGCCTTTGAAAGTGTTGTTCTTGGAGGGCATTGAATGTTGATTTTAAACTTGACCACAGACTTGTAGTATTTCTATGCAGAAGAGTTTGTTTGAAATCAATGAATATTTCAATATTTATTACTTCAATAACCATTAAAATGGAATTTCTTGAGGGCATGTATCTTACATTGTATGTGAAAATGATATATGTATATTGAAAATCTGCAATAGCAGGTGGAAGAATTTATTTTGAATTATTTAAATGTTATTAAAAAAGGATGAAAAATCCACGCCTATGGCAAAGGCGTGGATTTTTCATTTTCAGGCGTAAAAAAAAATAAAGAATATTTTAAATAAATCCAAGCCAAGCGTTAATCCCAACCTAGGGTAAAGCCTTAAAAACAATTTTTAAAAAATCCACGCCTAAGGTAAAGCCTTAACAATATTTTTTAAACTTTAAATATATTTTTTTAAAAAATCCACGCCTAAGGTAAAGCCTTAAAAACGTTTAAAAAATCCCCGCCTGTGCTGCTCTACGAAAAAATATTTTTAAAAAATCCGTGCTAATGTAGGGAAAATATTTTAAAAAAAATTTACGTCTGTGCTAATCTACAAAATTCGAAAATTGACGAAGACGAATCGTTGTGACAATGACAGCTCGCAAACATCTTCCAGCAGCACGGGAAGGTCACTGAAGGCCTTAATCGCCCTCGAAATTGTTCTGAGTTCATATGACCTTATCACAGACAATTAGTATTCTTCCTCGTGACTAATCGATAAAAAATAGTAAATTTTTACCCAATAAGGCTTTGAAGTGGCTCTAAAAGAATCTTTTGCCAACTGTATCCGAAAATATAATTAATATTATAAATATTTTTGCAGATTCCTTATCCATATGACCATATTTAGAAATAGTTAACATAATACATTAAGGCCTTTGCCTTAACGTACATTTTTGTTTCCTTTTTTACTTTTGTTTATCCTGATGGCAATGGCGGGCGGCATTTAAACGCGCGCTAAGCTTTAAAGCGGCAAACATAGCGAAGGAGGATCTTGTAGAAAAAAAAATACAAACAAATGAATGCAGGCAGACCGATAAATGTAAGCAAATAAATACATACGTACAAACATACAAGTATATATTTAACTAAATACCTATATTGTTTGGGATACCCTATAGGGCATGGAACTAGATGAAGCATACAGACACGTATCTGGTTAGTTTATTAGTTAGTGTAAGTGGTTAGTTTATTATCCAAATTACTCAATGTCTGTTCCACGTCACATAAGAATGTATAAAATTTACTGCGAAAACAATTTATGATATAAAAAATTGAAAGATTCTGGAAGTCACTTTTTATTTAAAATTCATTTTTTCGGGAATTAAATTTTTTTCCATATGAATTGAATAAGATATATCAATAATACGAACTAATTGCCTAAACATTTAGTATTGCATTCTAGTGCTAGGCCGACAATAGTCACTTCCATTTTTGTTTTCAAAACGTATCGTATACACATACACACCACAATTCGCCTATAAAACGCCCACCAGGCAAAACATTTAATTATATTTACTTTTTGTTGTTTTTGTTTGTTTGTTGTTGTGTAGATTTTCATATCATTTAATTAAAATCGCTTTTATTTCATTCTCCTCTTCTTCTTGTTCTTCTTCTACTACTACTACTTCGAATACAATTTGCAATTTCGGAACATACATCCCTGCTGCGAGCAAAGATCCATGTGTATCTTATATTACCACTTTATTTCTACAGACAATTGTACTAGTTCAAATTTCAACAATTTACGAGTAGAGTTTGGTTTGGGACACTGATTGTAGTGTATTTCTACTGACAATGTCGACAGTTGGCTTTTCTTTTATTGTCATTAAAACATATTGAATATATACACATTTTTATGTAATTTTTTTGTAGATCGCATCGAAACAACGCGTTTTTATCGGCAATTAATTTGTTTTGTGTGTTTTATTGTTAAAAAGGTGATTATTTATTAAATATATAAACAAAATGAGTAAAAGAAATTATAAAAGATTAATTAAAAAACAAAAAATATTGTATAAAAACAGAAGTTTGCAATGTGAACAAGAAAATAGTGAAAGTGAATTTGTGTCAAACGGTGGAGATTTTATAAATGATTTCGTGGAAAATGGAATGGAAGATTTTGCAGTTCCGAAATTAATGTTGCGGGACAAACTTAAAAAGTGGTGCATGGAAACGAATCCTTCAAAGAAATGTTTGGAAAGTCTTTTATCAATATTAAAGGAAGAAGGTCTAGATGTTCCGCTCACTAGAGAGACTTTGGTGGGCAGAGCAAAAAATATGTTAACGAGAAATGTTGCCCCTGGAATTTATTGTCATATTGGCATAGAAACACAACTACGAAAAGTTGGTCACATTTTGGAAAAGTATGAGGAAGTCGAACTAGATATAAATATCGATGGAATTCCACTGTTCAAAAGCTCTCGTGTGCAATTGTGGCCAATCCTTTGCAGAATCGTTAATATTCAGGAGAAAACAAAACCGTTTGTTGTTGGATTATACTTGGGAAACACCAAGCCGTGTAGTGTGAATGTGTATTTGAAAGACTTCATTGATGAAGTGATTCTACTAAAAGGTCAGTTTATCATACAACAAAAACATTTAAAATTGAAGTTTCGTTGCTTAATATGTGACGCACCAGCAAAAGCTTTCGTTTGTGGAGTTCCTGGACATACATCAACACATGGCTGCACCAAGTGTACTCAAATTGCGAAGAAGGTAAACAATGTCTTGACTTATAGTAGCGAGAGTGGTTCCCTAATCTCCGATGAGGACTTTGCTGTGCGAAAGTATCCATGCCACCATTCCCAAATGTTCAAAGAAGAAAAAACTCCTCTCGAAGAAATTGGATTTGGTATGATAAATCAGACTCCTTTAGATAGCATGCATCTCATTGACCTCGGAGTCACCAAAAAAATGCTAACCAGAATAATGCATAATAAAACTGAAAAGAAAACCTCAAAACAAAATATTTCAAAAATATCTTCTGAATTGGTGAAATTTAAAAAATACATTCCAAGGGAATTCCCAAGAAAACCCAGGCCTTTAGATGATCTTTGTCATTGGAAAGCGACTGAATTTCACCAGTTCCTTGCTTATACAGGAATTATTGCTCTTTATAATAATGTACACGAAGATATTTATTATGAATTTTTAACTTTACATTGTGCTTATCGACTTCTTAACAATGCACGACATATGGATCAAAATATTGTTCAAGCTAATAATTTGCTTCAATTATTTGTCGAGAACTTCTCAACTGTATTTGGTTCGAACAGCATTTCTTTTAACGTTCATAATCTGCTTCATTTGGCTTCTTGCGCAGAAAAGTATGGTCCCCTTATTTCGTTTTCTGCATATGCATTTGAAAATAAACTGCAAACACTGAAAAAACATGTTCGAAAACCATCACATATCTTTCAACAAATTATTCAAAAGGAAAAAAATTGCATGATTGTCAACACTATTCAGGATGGGTTAAAATATGAAAAAGGTGTTATCGTTGGAGCTTTTGTAAATGATTGCTACATATCCTGCAAAGAACCAGATAATATTTGCGCGGTGAATTCATGCATTCCAATAAAAATTGATAATATAAAGAAAAAGGGCGAAATATATATTGAAGGCAGTCGAATTTTGGCATTAGAAAGTTTCTACGAAGAACCGGTGAATTCTTGTGAGATTGGTATTTTCAAAACGAATCTGACTCTAGGGGAAAAAGAGACATTTTGTATTAAAGACATTCAGTTCAAATTTGTATGCTTGCCAATTGATTCTGATTTTGTAATCGTGCCCATTTTACATTCCTGCTTTCCAGAGAAATATCAAGCACAAATTTTTACCTCCTAAGTACACAACTCCCGCACATAAACATGTCGAACGAAAATGCCAACCCTTCCAAAGGAAAAATGAAATATTTTGCTCCACAAGGTAATCTCCAAAGATTATCACTAAATTTTTAACAGTATAACAAAATTGAGTTCATATTTTTGATAGCTAATGCAAAATGTTCTTCCTGCCAAGAAAATGCCAGAAAACTAGACACGATTATTGATATTTTGGCGGAGCATAAAGTTTTACTGGATCGTGTTATTTCTCAGAACGCATTTGTGGACAATATTATGACAATTTTTCCAATTGAATCGGAAGAAAAACTTCGAGAATTTGATCGAATTCTCGCAACACAAGCAGATCTATATGTACGTATCTGCGTTTTGGGAATAACAAATTCATAACTAAAACAATTTTTACAATTGCAGACTCGACAAATGAAAAATCTCATTGCAGGTAACGCTGAACGTAATTTGCATAAAGTATTTGGAAGAAATATTATTATGGATTTTAATGTTGACGGAACTTTCGGGAAAAAAGGTCTACGAGATTTTGGTAATGTACTTGCCGCCATAATAGGTAAAACGTGTTTGTTTTTGTTTCAAATAAGTAATGCTAAAATATAGTTTATAAAACAGAAGTTATATCAACATTTAATAAATTACCTGACAAGACTTTACGAGCAGCGTTCCAACGCCAAAAGAAAAAGTATTTTAAGATCAACAAACGAAGCAGGCGCACCGAAGAAAAGGAACAAGATGAAAATGATGAAGAACCACAAATTTAACTGAATGTTTTTATGTTATACTATATAATTTTAAAATCCTAGTTCTAACACTATTCAGTTTTATTAAAAATAAGACAAGGTTTGGCCAGCCTTGAAAAAAGTGAGCTATATATGTAATCCATTTCTTAATTTATTACCTTGCCTAAAATTCGCAGACTGTTTTAGATTAATTAAATATATTGTGTGTAGATTGAACTGTGCTTTACTTTTGTTTTTGTTACTTAATAACTGCGTTAAAAATGTAACGTTGTTAAATACTTATTCTATTACAAGCATTTTCCTAAAAATCTCAAATGACTATTTGGTTCGAATGCCTCCATATGATCTCGAAAGGACTAATGGTCTTCTAGTGTTTATTTGGTTCAAATGTCTACATATAGCTCAGGATACCCAATAAAATGCAGTGATTATTTGGTTCAAACGTCACCATATAAACTTAAAAGATCTAATCTTTTTCTAGTGATTATTTGGTTCAAATGTCTACATATAGCTCAGGAAACCCAATATAATGTAGTGATTATTTGGTATACACGTCATCACATAATCTCAAAAGATATAATCTTTTTCTAGTGACTATTTGGTTCAAATGTCACCATATAGTCCCAAAAGAACTACTTAGTCAATATAGTCAAGGTCTACTGGTACTTCTCCTATGACAAGCCTATGTTAAATGTCCATAGGAAATTACATTGGTTGTGGTATACTTTTTCACTAGTACTAGCGACAATGTCACCAGTAAAACACTACAATTTTACTAAAGCTGCTCGCTGCAGGGATATTTCAATAATGTGATTGTCTGATTTTGGTGTGTGTGTTGTATGCGTGCGTACGTATGTGTGTCTAAATAAATGCTATTTGCAATAGGGTGGAACGAGAAAAAAATAACACAATTAACAAAATAACTTAAATATGGAAGTCTTATCTCTCAAAATTATAGAAACTACAAAATTATATTTTTTGTTTTTTAGTCCTCCCTACTTTTGTATAAACATATATACAATTAGGTTTGGTTGAATTATAATTTTACACCTTGTGAGAAAAAAATCGGATCTGCAGCCATCTTTTTCTAAATGGAAAAAATTGGAATTGTATTATTTCAGTATACAGATTTATATATAAAAAAATAGAAATTATAGAAAAAATATTTCCCTCCTTCCCCGCTTGCATTGTGTGTGATATTAAACCCCTAAAGAAAACCCTATTGTCTGGCTGACAGCTCTAAAGAAAACAAATGGCAAAAATAAAAAATAACTAATCTCAAAATCACGACATTAACATTTTGTTGCAGGCAGACTCACTCGCTGTCTCACTCACATATAAATACCGGCAAATGGGGGGCGTAACTTCATTAAATATGACCATGTTCTGAACGCGATATTTTTTGTTTTTTTTTTTGCTCGCAACAATCTCCCTAAACTTAGCTATTCAGCTTCAGACAAATAATAAACGGTTGGGAATATTTTGAAATTTGCATTTTTATAGAATTTTCTGCAAAGGGGTTTTTAATTAATTTTTTAAATCTTTAAATTTGAACTTTTGTAAATTTTGTGAAAGGCGTAGGAAAGGCAATTATCGAAGTGAAATGGTATTGAAAACAAATGCCATTAAAATTAACCATCTTGGCAAACAATATATGAAATTAAATAAAAAAGTACTTTAAAATGCATATTGAAATGTTTAATACCCCCCTCAAAAAATGAGGTCGTTACATATTTTGTTGTTGTTGCTACTTTTGTTGCAGCAAGCTGCAGAATAAACATAATGTTGAAAAAAAACTCATTTTAAAAAGTTCATTAAAAATACAATTACACTTTGGTAGCCTTCTTTTTAATATGATATTGTATATTCTATATAGATAGTTGCTTATGTGTATATATAAAGGGTATATATATATATATATACATCAACTATGAATGTATGTATATAAACACCTTAGTTTGCACAAAAACCAAAAATTCAGCAAAATTACCTTTACAAAGAATGAGCTGAGAGGAAATTGTGCTAGCCATAGTGGTAGACAACGTGGAATACACTCGAGGAAAAATGTTCGTAAGATATGAAAATTAAAATAAAAGCACAATTATAGACTTTATATAAATAATTGGATCGTTTTTTTTTGTGAAATAATTATTACAAAGCATTATTTTTTATAAATAAAAAATAAAATATTCTGGAGATCTGTAGAGTTCGGAATATTTAAAATAAAGCCTTGGGATTTTTCACATATATTGCTGCTCCTAGAATGTTTAAAATTGGTATCGCCCAATTTTCTGTATTGGAAAGTTTAAACTACATCCAACCGAAGAGGCTTCGGAGTTTTAGAGGGCAGAAAATTTCGGTATTGATCCATGATTTGACATAACCTAGATATATAAAATTCCCGCCCATATTTCGTAATTTGAATGTTATAGACAAACTATCCACCCGAAAGGGGTGTTATTTGGTATTGCGGATTCTTCAAGGGTGAAAAATATCTTTGCAAATACTGTCGATTTGCGTTAATGTATTGTAATAACTCCCATATAAAGGTTTCGACACATTTTCGATGTTTCGAATGAATTTGGCTGCTGCGATCCACCCCGGATCGTCAGATACAATTCGAAGAAAAATGTCATCTCAGCATTTTTAATATAAGATCACGCTTTACATAGAAAATGGTAGCCTTAATTTCAGTATTATGAAGTCCAAGCCCAGTTATTCATCCTGAGTGTCGCATTTTCCCAATGGAGTCGCCCGGTTTTATTTAGAATAAAATTGTCCTCTCATAATTGTTTTATATAGGAACACGTTTTTACATACCCCCCCCTATGAAATCATCGTCTTCATTTCGGACCAGTTTTTCATCCTGAGAGCCTGTACTTGTTTTTTAAGCATATACTGCTTACCCGCTGAGAATTTATTACGACATACCCCGATTTTCTCGATTTTTTACTTCTGACACATAAGTCCGAATAGGCCAGTCACTACCCCTAATAAGATCTTCTACATTTAAAATTCTTATCGCCCAGTTCGAATGCGATGCCGAACCTAGTATGAAATATTGCCAGCATTGCAGAGAGCCTTTTGATTCCGTTAAAAAAAAATTATGGACGTTCTGGTCAGGGTTGCAAACCCAATTATTGCCCCTATTTAATTTCCAAAAATTAAAATTTTTCATAAATTTCTACTCGCCAATTGTCATTCGGCAACGTTGGACTAATTGAAAACTTTCAAATTGAAATTAAACAAAAATTCAATTTGGTACAAATTCGAATACTTGCATTCGAGTGTTTGGAGGAGGACAACAAGGAATTGTAATCATCTGAAGGTTGTTGTAGGTTGATGACTGTTGTAGTTTGTGGTAGCGGAGGTGGAGATGAAGGTGGCATGGCATGGCTGTCAGTGTAGGCTATTTGGTTGGCTTGATGAAATTCTACTGCAGAGTCTGTATTGGTTGGCTGGATGGCTGACTGGCTGATGGAATGGCATGCCGAGTATGCCAAATAGCCGAGATGGAAAGTAGTTGTACAGTTTACTTTGTTTGTATTCTACTTTAAGCACACTCGCACACACACACAAACACACAAATACATATAATAAATGAAAAATAGCAATTTATCCAACGTTAACAACAACAAAAAACTAATTAAATTTTTACGATAATATTTGTTAACAACAGTTGTTGTTCGTCGAAGGAAATAACCGTAAAGAGCATTTTTATGAAAATAATTAACACAAAAGCAATATTTTATTTTTATTAAAAAAAAAAAAATAATAAAAATAAACTAATAAATATTCCAAGACGGAATTCAATTATAAATCAATTTAGAATATTTGTGAAAAGAACGAAAGAACAACAAAGATAGTTATTATCGTATTATTTCTTTTGTGGAGAGATAGTAACGATTTCAAATTGCTTACAATCTAAAGAAAGCTTTGCCGCTTCCTTGAATAAGAGGACACACATCCACAAAACAGCAGCAAGAACAACAACAAAAAATACATGAAATTCAAAACCAAATTGCAATTTTAATTGCGGCATAGATACACGAGTCGTGCAAATATGTCGATATCAATGCAAGACAATGTCGTCGTCATCGACGTTGTCTGGGTTGCAGCTATTGGCGATGGATGGTTGGTTGTTGCCGCATACCCAACTTAATTAAAAATCTATGTTGACGTTAAAATGAATCAAGGCAAAAAACAAATAACAAGCAACAACAACACCAGCAACATCACATCAAGGAAAAATGGCAATTTCTTGATAAAAATTATAAAATAACACAGACACATTTATTTATCCACGCTGTATAAACAAACGAACAACAACAACGACAACAATATTGAAGTGAAGCCGGGCCGGGAGTTAAGCCAGAAAGAAGAAAACCGAAACAAAATTGAAAACTATATCAGCTTAAAAGTCGGCAAAACAAAAGTGGGGATTGGCAAACGTGGCTAGAGGGGTGCGAGGGAATCTGTGTGTTCTCTTTTTGTTTTTGTTGTTGTTTTTTTAAATAAACAACAAAATCAACAAGTAAGATGCAAAAATGTGGTCTAAACAAGTCTGCTTGTTTATAAGTTCATCTGTCCGCCAGTCTGTCCTTTCGTACATATGTATATTTGTATGTTTGAATGTCCGCCGTGGCCTAGCTGGCCATTTTTGCTTGGGAGAGTAACCTCGCCTCGGTCCCTGATTGTTTTGTCTCTGTGTGTGATGTTTTTTCGTCGTTTCGTTTCTTTGTTTTGTTCCTTAACAACTCCAACACACTCATCTCTTTTTTTTTCTTTTCAGACATTTTCTGTTGTTAAAGGCGAAGCAAACAGCAAAAAAGGAAGAAAAAGGATGTGAAATACAAAATGAACTATCTAACAAAAATAATTTTAATTATAATCATTTTTTTCAATATTTTTTTTGGTTGCTTTTTATTAATTACTTTAATATTTATTAAAATCTTGTGAAATATATTTTGTAAGTTATAACATTTGGCTTTTTAGCCTATTTGCACATATTTACTTGGCGAAACTCCATATATTGCAAAACTTGAAAAAATGGAACATAAAAATATTGAATCCTAAAATAAACAAATCGAAGGAAAACATCACTGAAAACAATCACAAAAACAAACGAAGGAATAAAA